CCCTTCCCCTTCTTTTTTTTCTTTTTTTTNTTTTTTTTTTTTTTTTCTTCTTTTTTTAGAATACAATAGATTAGCGGTTTTGTTTACGTTGTTGTTGTATTATAGCGGGACCAGAACCCAGAGGCAAATGTCGTGACGAATCAGCCCAGAGGCCTGGTTAAGGTAAGTCTTCTTTGGTATCAGTGGTTCTTTTAATCCTCTAAATTTACGAAATTCTACGAAAGATGTGATTGGATTTTGTTTTAATTTTGTTTTTCATTGATGTTTTACAATTATTTGTGACTTATCAAATACTAGAATTTTTTAATAATAATCATTGAATTTTTAAAAAAGAATTTTTAAAAAATTATTTTTTAATAAAATAAAACAACGATACAATTTTTGCTCTTTAATAATCGTTAATAATAATAATCGTTATTTGTATTTGCTTGGAAAATGTTATTTTCCCTTATTTTCAATTATATAATTGTATATTTAATTTTTTTTTCTGTTATCTATATTATTTACATATGATTTTTTTTGAAATTTTAAAATTTCAAATATGTAATTAAATAAAAATACAATATCCATAATTATTATATTTTTTAGTAAATATTAATTAATATGATTTTATAATCATATTAAGTCACATCAATTTTAATTGATGATTTATGGGAGAACAAAATATTTTAAAAATTGGAAAATCAAAATAAAAACTTGTATCATAAAAACAAGATATATCATGAAGAGGAGGAAATGAGAACCATTGAAACAAACATTGAATACATATTGTTCGTTTCTTTCGATCATATTCATACCAGCTTCTTGAACATTCTTTTTTTCTTCTTCCTCTTTTTCTTCTTCTTCCAGCATTTTTATTTTTTCTTTCTTCTGGTCTTCGTACAGGAATATGTGTATAAAACAAGAGTTGCAGGTTTGTATATGCGATATATTGATTCAGGAGAAAGATAATGTTTTAAATCTAATGAAATAAATTCGTCAAGTGACGGATATGATCGTGAAAATTAATATGAATAAAAAATTATTCCATAATATTAATTGTTGATTTTTTTTATTGAAAGTTAATTATGAATATATATATTTTAGGATCATAATTTTTTATCTTAAATGTAAATTGAGTTTAATCATTTATTCTTTTTTCTTTTTATATATAAAAAAAAACTTGTGCATTTATTTAATTTTCATTCTTATAATATAGAATAATTACGGAAGGCGATGAATTTTTTTTAAGTCCAAATTATGATTAATCTGAAGAACTTATACATTGAATTAATTAAACCATATTACAATATCGATATAGATGGATCTTTATGGAAAAATGATATCGTATCGTATATACTTTTCTTAACTGAAATATAGTTTTACATTTATTATTTTTATTTTAGCTTTTTTTGCCCTCCAATGATTATTCCAATGACTTTCGTATTTTACACAACTTTTTTTTCTTCCCTTCTTTTTCGATTCAAAAATTTCGTTATTGTTATTATTTTCTTATATTCTTTATAAATTAAAAAAACTTCGAATGATTATAATTTAGAAATAACGATGCATCCTTATTTGATTCTCATTTCAACTATTCCATTTAGATAGATCGATTTGATATCTTAGTTATATAAGATATTTGATTAATAATTGAACAATTAGAAATCATAAGAAATGTTTTAAATCGATATGAAGAAAAACTGGATGCTCTATAACATATATCGATTTTTAAATTTTATAATGATAAACTTGAACTGTAAAAAAAACATTTATATCCAAGTTAACATTAATCATAAAAAATGATAAATAACTTATGATAAACTTATGAATGCAACATACGAAAATAAAATATATTAAAAACATTGTAATATACAATTTCACAAATTGTTCAAGTGATCCATCTTTCCCGGATTTATCCTATAAAATATTATTCCGAGATAAGCATATTATTCACTCGATTATTTTTAGGTATATTATTTAGTTTTGTTCTCAAATGAAACGAGAAAGGAGCTCGAGATAGCTGCAAATCATAAAAACCGATCGATCGAACAATATTATTCTTCGAAAAAAAAAATACCATAACGTATTATGTAATTTTATTAATATTCTCAACGGATATAAAGATGTATAGCTTTTTCAAACAAAGAAATGAAGATGAAAGAAGCGATATAGTGTTGTTTATTTCGGAATAATAATATTGTATTTATGAATTTTTAATTATAATTATATCAGAATTTAGGCGTTAGTTTTGATTTTTCGTTCTAATAATAATTATTTTTATTAGTTTATTTCTAATCAATCCTGATTTTATTTTTTTCGATTTTGATATTTTATTTTGATTTAACTTTTTTTTATTTTTTTTTATATCTATTTCAACGATAGAAAAGTGATCATAAAAGAAATTGAAAATATAAATAAAAAATATCAAATTTGCCGATTCTCATGATGAATTTACATCGATAAGAATGTGCACGTAAAATGATATTTTTTAAAAAAAAGTAATGGTATTTAACTATTTTTAAGTAAAAAAAAAAAAATAATTTCAATACAAGATCTCTGATTACATACATACGAATAGATTAGTCGATAAATAAGTCTAACTTTATAAAACGATATTTTAATTTTTTGTTTTTATTTCAAATCGTTATCGATCATCTCGAGCTTGTTATTCGATGCATTATCGTTACACAACTTCACAATTTCTCAACAATCATAACCGATATTTTTCATAACTATCTGATCAAAATAATTGTCATAATTTTCATACATCTCATATAAAATTTAATAATATTTTACTATAATTTTAAATCATAAATTTTT